ACCACGAATATTGAGCAGAGGGATATGAAGGTAGATCACTCTCAGTCAGAGGTCAGAGCACAGGTAGATGACAAGATAGTACACAGGAATGGGTGCCCAGTGGGCTTTATGGAAAGGGACTGGAGAAGTGTATCTAATTTGTTGTGGGTGCCTGTGGCTACACATTTTCACTGCATTAACCTTGTGGTAGCAACACACGTTAAAAGCAACCTCCTGGTCTGCCCTATAACTCAGAGTGTGATGGATACCTCTGTGTGGCACTGATAGAGATGTCTGAATGCATACTGTGTTTCAAGAGAAAAAACAGGGTTGAGCATGAGGTATAAACATGAACTGAAGACAAGGCCTATGATTCAAGAGACCAGGTTTCAGTTCCTGGCTCACTGGTCTTCTGTGTGATCTTGGGAAGTCAGGTAATCTATCCGGTGTCTCAGTTCCCCATCTCTAAAATTGGGATAATACTCCTTTACCATCACAGGGATGTTGTGCGGACAGACTCTATTACTGATTGTGAGGCACTCTGATACAGTAGTGACCAGGGTCCTACAAATACACAAAGAGAACGAGGGAAGGAAGATAGTCCCACTCCTCCCTTCTTATGGCCATGCTCACAGGGAAGGTCTTTGGAGGAGGGGCAGGAGTTCCCAGTCTGCCTTTGTCTGGCTGTAGTCCACTGGTTTCCATATGGAACGAGAAGTATTTCCAAATTTAGATGTATGGGATTATTTTACTACAGAAATCATCTGAGATCCTTGCATCTCTATTTGGTCTGCCAGGGCAGATGTTTTCCCTTAGATCCTGCTGTCATTTCAGCCCTGTCCACTGAGTTTCATTCAAGGAGGAAAGTCATGTTTTCTTTCCAAATTCCTGGAAGATTTTTAAGAATCAGACTTGCTCTAGGTAACATTTTGACATGACTAATGTTAAACCCTTCCTTAACAGCTCTCTTTTACCCTTCAGGTTTACAGCAAGCCAAGACCAGTTTAAGGGAGGAATTAAAGCAATTTCATTGATGCTGGAGGAAGTTTAATATGACACCTATTTTTATTCTTGTTTGCCTGATACTTCTGCCCTTGACAGCACAAGCCTTCTTTCTAGTTCATGATTCAGGGTTACTTTGGAGCTTAGTCACTGCGTGAGTAGGAGATGGGGCTGCTGGAGATAAGGTGCCTGAGCTGTGCATAAAAGCTGGGAGAACACAAGGTGGGGTGGGGTGCTCTACTTATCTGCGCTGTCCCACTTCAACTAGCTGGCATGGAAAGGGCTGGTCAGAGCACCACCTTCACTGCTCTCCATCCCCTAAGGGTTTTCTAGTGCCAGTCTCTTTGACAGACGTCTCAACCAGAAGTGCAAGGACAAAGATTGCACCTGGCTAGTGTGCAAAGGGTTTGAGGGGGAAGGAGGTAGGCTATTTGCTCCCTTTTCCCTATTTTGTGCACTACTAAGCAGTGGTCCCAGTCTAGCCAAAATAAAATCTACTTGGTTGTAACTAAGCGTATCAGACTCACACTTACTACTGCGATACAGCTGCAAGGATTTGCAGCCCCTCTGCAATGTGATATTTACTGGTCATTGAAATATTGATGAGCTCATGCTGTTGGAGAGGCCCATCAGAAAATAAGCAAAGCAAAGTGTAATATTTTTGTTTATGAAAGAGAATGTGGACTTATCCTAGCACTACAAAATACCCAGGTTCACAAATTCATAGAGATGATCCCATCATCTCTGCTCCATCATTGAACTGGCTTTCACTGAATAATAACTAAGGGCCCTGATTGGTAACTAAGGGTGAGGTCCTGAGAACCCTACTGATTACAATGGAAGATGAAGAAGCAATGGGCTTAAATTCCAGTAAGGGAGGTTTAGGTTGGATATTAGAAAAAACTTCTTAACTGTCAGGGTGGTTAAGCACTGGAATAAATTGCCTAGGGAGGTTGTGGAATCCTTGTCATTGGTGGTTTTTAAGAGCAGGTTAGACAAACACCTGTCAGGGATTGTCTAGATAATACTTAGTCCTATTTTGAGTGCATTGACTGGACGAGATGACCTCTCGAGATCCCTTCCAGTCCTATGATTCCATCTCTGTTCCAGAGGATCTCTGTGGAAAAAGCAGAACCTGATATCATCTTTAAATTTTACTTGGGAATTTAAAATGTCTTATTTTGCTGGGGTCAGAAACATAGTCCCAGGAGCTCATCTCTCTCACACACACACTATTCCCCAGTAACAATAGTTATTAATAATAGCTAGAGTAATTCAAAGCAAGACTGACCAGCTGCAGCATTTGTCACTGCTTAAATCTGCTGGTAAGACCCTTCAAAATTTGTTACATATTACATAGATTTACAGGAAATGATACTGATTATTCTTTTCCCTCCTTGAAAGGAGGAAGCTGCCTTTTTAACACAGCCTGTGCAAGCTGGGTCTACAATATCAATGAATAGATTGCATGGAATAATTATGACGGCATCAGAGAAACTGGAACTCAAATTAGATTTCACATGGAATGGTGAAGGCTAATCTGCCAGAAGAACTAGTCTCCTATCTACTTGTATTTGACCTCTGCTGTTCATTTTAAGTAGAGAGTTTAAAATGATTATTTCTCTCTTTAGGACATAAAATTATTCAGCATTAGAGGTGTGCAGATACTGAAACACCCAGCTGTTGAGGAGTGCTGGATTGAGAGGGTGTATGTGTGTGGGTAGTCATTGTTTCTAATGCCACACTCGTAGGTACAGTACCACCAGCAAAAGGTTCCACAGCAGAGCCTGCATTATCTGAAAATCTTGGGGGAGTAGCCAGAACTGAGGCTGTGATGGGCTAGAGATGATAGTCATGGGCTCCTAGAATCTCCTGGGTATAATTCCACCACGGAGGTAAAGGGATGTTGGGAGTGATTTTTCTGCTTTTGATGGAGTATTCCCCCTTCCCTTCATGCTACTGACTCAAAAAATTTGCTATTGGACTGTTCAGTCTAGCAGACAACGGTATAACAAGATCCAAGGGCTGGAAGTTGAAACTAGACAAATTCAGATGTGAAATAAGGCATAAATATTGACCAGTGAGAGTAAGTAAGCATTGGAACAAGTTACCAAGGGTTGTGGTGAATTCTCCATCACTGGCAACTTTTAAATCAAGATTGGATGGGTTTTTTTAAAGATACACTGTAGTTCAAAAGCAATTACTTTGAGGAAGTTCTATGGCCTGTGTTATGCAGAAGGTCAGACTAGATGAATTACAGTAATCCCTTCTGGCCTTAGAATCTATTAATCTATTTTCCCTGTCACCTTGGCCTGTAGACACTTCCAGCAAATGCATTTCATATAAGCTTGTTCACTTCTTTTGCCAAGTGGTGCTGTCTCCTTCCTTGGTTATGAACAAAAAAAAATTTTTTAAATGGGGAGAGGGGAAACCATAGTTTTCTTAAACCCTTGCCCCTCCTGTCTGCATCACACATACCCGAACACTGAATTTATCATATGTTAAGGAGGAAAGTGTTTGTGGGAGCTTCTTGGAAGCACATCCGTGAGTCAAGGATTTGGTTTGCTGAATGAATAGAGAGGAGCTGCCTGAACCCAGCTGGCTTCTCAAATGCCAGCCAAAGAGGAGAAGGGAGGAAAGGGAGGTGCTATGGTATATGAAGTCTGCAAGGGACTTCACTATTGCTATTGAATGTACATGGAAGGTGATCAGATACAATGAGCAGCAGCATAAAACTCTAAGATAGCTGCATATAGATTTGTGCAGAGAAGTCTTTGTAGGCCTGATCCAAAGCTCGCTGAAGTCAGTGGAAAAGCATCCATTGACATTAACAACACCCTACTCTCTTATGAAAAGTGCCATAGGATCTTTAATGTTGACAAGGGGCCAGAACCTTAATTTTATGTCTCATTTGAAAGTTGGCATCTTCAACAGCATGAACCCCTCAATGTAAGTTTTGTTCATTGGCTCAGAGAGGAGGGAATATAGTTCTGAAACCCTCTCCATGAATAGCACTGGAATCCAAAGGATGCCAGTTTAGGGTTTGATTTTGAAATTCCCAAAAGACGCTATAATTGGCCTTTAGTTTCTAGGGAATATTGCCTCATATCAAATCACCAAAACCACTTCCTACAATGCCTGTCTCTCTCGGAGATCTCCCGATCACACTGTGTAAACACTGCTACCTTAATAAATGTAATGGTGGTCCCAAATTCTACCTTGCCTTACGCCCCTGGAAATAAATGGGCCAGATGCTCAGCTGGTGTAAATAAGCTTCTTTCCACTGAAGTCAATTGTGTTATTCCATTTTACACCAGTTGAGCATCTGGCCCAATGGTTCTGCATGGGTTATAAATCAGGACAGAAGTTAGGCCAACAATTGTTTGACGTAGATTATAAGGCCAGACGGAGCCATTATAATCATAGAAATGTAGGGCTGGATGGGATCTCAGGAGGTTGTCTAGTCCATCCTCTTGTGCTGAGGCAGGACCAAGTAAACCTAGACCATCCCTGACAGGAGTTTGTCCAATCTGTTCTTAAAAACCTCCAATGATGGCAATTCCACAACCTGCTAACCTATTCCAACATTTAACTATCCTTATAGTTAGAAAGTTTTTCATAATATCTAACCTAAATCTCCTATGCTGCAGATTGAGTCAATTACTTCTTGGCCTACCCTTGGTGGATGTGGAGAACAGTTGATCCTGTCTTCTTTATAACAGCCCTTAACATATTTGAAAACTGTTATCAGATCCCCTCAGTCTTCGTTTCTTGAGACTAAACATACCCAGTTATTTTAACCTTTTCTAACCCCTTTATCAAACCCTGTGTCAAAGAGATCTGCGTTTTCTGTTTGCTTTACAAATTTATTTTGAAAAATGTTGAGCGCAATGGAGGCTATAATCAATATATATCCTCAAAGGCAATCAGGTTGAAAAAGTGTTGGAGAAAACTATAAGTGAAACCATTGCTTTGAGTTTCACATCTCTTCTGAAGTGTTCTCACCTGTCTTCTTACAGCTATGAAATGCCCCAACTCTTTGATATATGATCACTGTCGAACAAGCTGCACAAAGCACTGTGAGAACAGCACCAGCATCAGTGTCTGCAAGGACTATCCCACAGAAGGCTGCTTCTGTCCACCCGGACAGGTGACTTTAAATAGTGATTGTGTTGATGAAGAAGTCTGCACACAGTGTGTCGCTGAAGATGGAACACGCCATCAGGTAGCTGTCTAGTTACTGCTTATCCGCAGAGTTGTCAGGATGTGTGTTTTGACAAATGAATCTACATCTGATAAGTCTGTCTATTTTTCCCTTCAGACATTTTTTCAGTCTGCTTCCTCATGGCTGGCCGGCAGTCTGCCCCATGCAGCTCCCCCAGTGTGAAATTGACTAGGCTCAACATTAAATTCACAGCTGGGGCTGTTGAGGCCAGGAAATGCATGACAAATTTCTGTGGAAGAAGCGGGGGGGGGGGGGAAGATGAGAGGAGCAGGGAATGGCATAAATGGCTATTTATTAAGAGATCTATTTCTCTCCAGCAGGCTTTTACCAGTAAACACCAGTTTAAACATAAAAGTAGACTTCCGGGATTCCTTATGCTGTGAGTGTATCTTACTTCCATGGCAAGGCACTGGGAAGGTTTCCAAGGGCTAGTCTACATTTACAGTCATAAGTGCTGGAACTACACCAATGGAAGAGCTTCTCCTGTTGGAATCGGCACTCCACCTCTCCAAAAGGCAGTAACTATGTCGATGGGGAAAGCCCTCCCATCAACATAGCACTGTCTGCACCAGAGGTTATTAATCACATTGCTCAAAATCCACACCCCTGAGCAACATAATTATACCGACGTAAGTTGGTAGTGTGGACCAACCCTGAAACTTTCTCAGCAGTTAGCACAAGAGTGACAAGAGTAACCTGGTCCAATCTCCGGCTGTAATGTCCCCATCCACTCAAAAATGGACAGAAAAGGAATGTTTCCTTTAATAAATCCGTGGGTTCTGTCCCACTGAAAATCTACTCTCCTCAGGTAAGTGCGGGATGCGACCTCTGGCAAGGGAGGTATTACTTGTATAGTCTAAAAACCACACAAACTGGAAATCCATGATAATAGATGGCCCCTACCAGCAGTTCTTTGTTTGACACATGGAGTGCCTGTCCCTGTATGCTCTCTTCAGGTCCCTTCCCACCACTAGTTGCATAGTGAGCTGTTTTGGTAGCATCTTCCACATGGTGGCTGAGCGCTGCTCCACCCTGGGAGAGGAAAGAGTCCATGAAAGAGAAGTGAATGCTTCACTGTTAACATGTGCAGCAATATGCCATGTGCTAGAGGTGGATTGTCCTAGGACCATGCCACATATATAGCAGCTGCTCCCAAGCTCTACCCTTCCCCCCCCAGTGCTCCCTGGCTTACACAGAGACCCATAAAGTTGTTGTTTCCTGTGCATGTGTGCGTGCCTGGTTCCACTGTGCAGCACTGAGGAAGGGAGAAGTTTTGCTCCTTTCCATGCAGATTCTGGGAATGGAGCATATAGCCCTATAGGTATTGGCAAGACTCAAGAAGGTTCTGAGTCCATGTTCAGTTCTGATAAGCATGTAAACTTTTAGGTGCCGTATCTGAATCTGGGAATGTCAGGGGAATGTAATGGGGAGAGGCTTTTCTTCTTGAAGTGCATGTCTGCTTCTGGTTTGAATTCATTTTGAGGTCTGGCTTGGTTCTTATTTTATGGACCATGCTTAGTGTAACGGACACACTCTTTTACAGGTTGTTGTGTGTGTGTGTTAGATGGATTTCCTGTTTTTCAGGCATAACAGTAAATTTGTGTTAATGGATATCCACTGGTAAAAAAATTAGACTAATATTTCAGCAATAATGCATGTTATAGACATTTACAATTGATTAAAACAAAAGGAAGACCAGATGATCTGTGCATAAAACTTCTGGAAGAGCAATTGCTCTGTTAAAATTAAGAACTGTTTACATTAATTGTCATAATGACAAAATATAAAACTGTAGCGCAAACTCTCAGCTGTTATGAATGATTCAGTAATGATGAAAGATGCATTTGATTTATTAAAATAGGCACTACACAAACTACATTGTCAATGTAATATTCATACTGGTTCCAACAGAAGAAATTCTACTGATGTTAGCATATATTAACAGTTATATATGACCCTCAGGCTCCTTAATGTGGTATGAAAACCCTGCTTGTAACAAGCGTCTCTTGTATATTAATATGGTTTATGCATTAGTGCCACCTGCTGGTATTGTGTAAGTATTACTGTAAGAATAGGTAATCCGTTCATTCCAGCAATGACAGTTCTTGTAGATTTGATAGTCATATATACAGAATTTATATTAAAGAATTAATTTAATGTATATAATAGCCACATGAAAATTTGAAATTATTTAGCCAAAAGGGCAAAAGGCAAGCTCAAAATCAGTGGCCAGATTTCTCAGAGGCATCTGCAGCTCCTATTAACTGCATTAAGAGTCACAGGTGCTCAGCACCTCTGAAAATTTGGACATAATTTGTTTTTGATCAATCTGTTTTTTAAATAGTGAAGCTGGATTTACCTGACCATTTAATGGACTGGTAAACACCAGTTGCTTAACACAGGTGACCTAATAACGATGAAGCAGAATACATTTTGATTCTGTATCTGAAGAGAGAAAGCTGCCTGATAAATGTATTCTCTTGCACTGTGTACCATTGCTATCCTAAACCTTTTTGTTGAAGTTCTACTATGCACAGCTCCCACTGATCTCAAGGACTCTAGTGCTGTCACCACAGTATTTCTGTAAGGGAAGTATAGGACAGGTGCAGATTAAGGCACAAGCACTATAAACCTATGCCTAGGGTCCTGGCTTCTCAGTCACATATTGTTGTCAGAATCTGTTTTCATTTACAATAAATGTTTCTAGAAAAACTTGAGTGTAACAGATGCAGTGATATCTGCCTGTGTCTGCAGAGAACCTGAAAGAGTAGCCTTAAAAGGTACAAACTGTCACATGCATCTCAATGGGGTGTTAACTCTGAAATCTTTTGCTTTGGGCAGCTCCATCAACACAATCCCAGCAGTGGGCTCTGTGTATGAAGGGCCCTTGTTACTGACACCCCAACATGGCTCTGCTGCTGCAGTGTCCTCCAGCGACACAACACAGAGAGGGTCCTCTGATCAGTTTATTGGAGGCTGAGTCCTCCCTCCTCTGGGAGAAACCCCAGCCCACCTGAAGGTAGAGTGTAGTAATCCAGGAACAAAGGAGGCTTCTGTCTGTCCAAGGAGGAGTGGTGGAAGGTTTCCCTACCAGATCAGCAAACAGCTCTTATATGAGTGGCCTCTGTCACGATTTTTCCAAGGAAGGGTGGGACCATGGCAAAGGGGTGTGGCCACAGAGCAGAGCAAAGCTACAGGAAGCCCATATGTGAGGTATGTCTAACAACTCAGATTGCTTTAACCCAGCTCTTGGTTTACAGAGAGGTTCTTACTGATATGTTGAGGAAAAGCCTGCTGTAGCACTGAGGATGAAAGTATTTGTGAGAGCAGATTTGTGATCATCTTATTGTGTCTTGAAATGTTCAAGTGCTTCAGTGTTTCACTGTTTGCTGGCGTTCAAAAGATACAAGAAATAACATGACATCCTCTTTAGTCCACCTGCAGAGAACTCTAATCATGTTCTATTAAATGGTCGGACAATACAAATGCAGTGCTTCCACAATCCCTGGGATAATGCTGTTTATTGGCAACTTAACTATGCAAACTTTCCTCTACTGAGACAGATTCCCCACAGACTGACCACTCACTAGCCTCACTTCCTTTGTTTTATAGGCTGCTAGATCTTTCTATCAGTTTGCTTCAATGTGCTGCTGCTCTTGTTGTAGTCCCACTATTAACCTCCTCATTTAATGCAGTCTAAAAGACCTTTTTGACTCATATAATGCTTATAGTACATACAGCATCTCCAGGGCTAAGTGGTGGTCAGCCTAGACATCACCCTTCTTCTTGCATTAGTAAGGATCACACCACACTTTTATCAAGAAAGTCCCCGAAATTTTTTTTCTGGACAATATTCTCTCCTCCATGGTATTACACCCTAGGCTCTCATTCAAAGCATGATTTGATTATGCAAATGTACTTAAATTATCCATAAAGCATCTTTCCACTACCTGCCTCCTCGCTTGAATATTAAATGTAAACAGTTCTTTTTACCTGTCTGTGAACTCAAGGACCAACATGTCCACTTTCCAGCTTTTCTCTCTTGCCAATGATAGCCAGCACTGAGGGACAATCATGCACATTACTATCAATTTCTCTATGCATTTATTACCTTTAAGGAATATCACAAAGGAATTACAGTGTCTGATTTGGTATTAATGTAGCCTTTGTCCAGAGTCCAATGCAGTGGGGATTCTAATGTGTTATTCTGAAACATTCTCAGCTTAAAATAGGGTTTTGTTTCTTTATTTCTGATATGCTTAAATACTAATAATCTGAAAAGGCTGCTACTTCTATATACTTCCAACATATAATTGTTTCTCTTATTACTCCAGTACATCCAGTCATAGTGTGTATAATACCACCATGGTGCTGTATTATTTACAGTAGTTTGCAGTTGTACTCATGAAGTCTGAACATTATGCATGCATAAAACAATGGTAATTTCTCACCGTATTGATGCATTCTTTGCATCCCTTGCTAAATCTCAGTATAACCTAATTTCTAAATTGTGTAGTTCTCTGGATTCTTGTAGTTATCAAAAGAAGCAAAACGGTCCCATATGTAGTCTTCTGGTTTTCCAGATTAGTTCATTTTCCCTCCAGCAGTTTGCATACCAATGATCAGAAGATTTCCTTTCTTTCTTACAACCTGTTATTTTTATGCAGCACACAGAAACATGGATTCCTTCCAACGAGCCCTGCAAGATCTGCATGTGTCTTGAGAATAGGATAATAAACTGCACTACCCAACTTTGCTCTACTGCCAAACGTAAACTGTTATTAAATCTAAATATATATATATATATATTTAAAAAAATTTCTACTTTGCTTATTTGTATCTAAGTGTGGTTTACAATTGTGTTTCCCCCCCCCCCCCACTCTAGCTGCAGTTTGTGGTCCCTGTGAAGTTTCCAGACTACGCCGGGACTCTGATCAGTGTTGTCCAAAGTATGAGTGTGGTAAGTTGCAGATAACGGGGAGAGCTATAGTTTATAATGATGCCCAGGTCTCGATTTTTTTGTTTACTAGCTACTTTTCAAACTTATGATTGGCATTTTCAGTTAGATCAAGTATTGATTAAGATAGTCTTTTTCAAAGCACTTGAGGGCCATATTCACCTCTGTGTGGAGAAAAACCCACATGAGAACAAAAAAACTTCATGAATCTCTACACAGTTTCCTTGTTTTGTGTGTGTGTGTCTGTGTGTACATGGAGGGGGGCAGGAGACAATTTGTCTCAATGACTTTAGAATGGTTATTTCATTTTTTCAATAGCTATTGTTTATCTAATCTACACAATCTACACTTGTGAAACACAATGTTAGAACTTTAATGCATCTAAAACCAAACAGGAATTGTTCCCTAAATCATTTCTAAGATTGGATTGTACCCTGCTAAACCGTGCACTAATGCTTATTCTCTATTAGCAGGGAAGCAATGAAGTACATGGAAATCTTAAAATTAGGTGTTTTTCTTGATGACTAACTAGCTAAGTACCAACTGATACACTGCCTCATTTTTTTTTGTCTTAGTATGTGATTTAGTTACCTGTGATCTGCCTGCTGTACCTGTTTGTGAAGATGGTCTTCAGCCTGTATTGACAAACCCTGGAGAATGTAAAGCAACTTACACTTGTGGTAAAGTATCTTTTAAACATTAAAAAATATTTGAGCAATGGGGTTGAACAAAGAAACAAATATAAGTGCCTGACTGTCTGGAAAACACCGATTTGGATCCAATAGGACCCGTAGCAATCTTGCAAACTGGAAACATCTATTACTTTCTCTTTCTGAGAATGCACTATGAACTATAGAACAGAGCAATGTTAAGAGTTGCAGGGGCTCTGATCAAGAGCTTACTAACATTACAAATACTTTTTACTATGTAATAAATGAGGGAAGGTGTTTTTGAGGGAATAAAAACATTGGTCCTGAACTTGCAATAGGATCTGCTAGTTGGGACTTCTACACCTGTGTGACTTATTGAAGTCAATCCCTAGTGGATCTCATTGCCATATCAGAGGCTTGTTTGTAAGAGAAACTAGACTTGTGGTTTCTATTATATCATTCTGAAATGCCTTGTGCTCAGTCTGATACCTAATTATTTGATAGCTTGCAAGCAAGAGGAATGCAAGCTAGAGCACATTCCTTCCTGCCCTCCACATCGAGAGCTGACTGTTAAGAAGACCCAGTGCTGTGATGAATATGAGTGCACCTGCAGCTGTACCAATTCTACAGTGCGCTGCCCAGCTGGATATTTATCGATGTCTGTCACCAATGACTGTGGCTGCGCAACTACTAACTGCATTCCAGACAAGGTGAGTGGAATGAACTGTCCCTCTGACAGAGGAAAATATCCTTCTTGCAAGGAGAGGCTGCTCCAAAGCAACCAGCTCCGCTTTTACATGGTAATGCCAAGTCTCCCAAAGCAATGCCAGACAAGTACATGAAGGCTTTTAGTAATAAGACTGTACGCAACCAAAGTGAACAATTGCACATCACTATGCATGTTACATTGTCATAATTTCTTGCAACATTAACAAAACTAAACTGTTTACAGTAACTCTGTGGTTTTTAGGATGAAAATACAGCTCAACATGTAGCCGCTCTGAAGTCATTCTGGCAGCATGAATTTCAGAGATCATTCTGAAGTTTTTACTTTGCTTCTGTAATAGCAAAAGCTCATGGCTTATGTTCTGTACAGATGTTCCATTTCAGAATTTCACTCTTTACAAGCTTTCTTTTTGTTGCTATTCAAATATGCACACAATCTACTTGCCATATTAAATTGAAATACTTGTGAACACATTAGATCTAAATGCTCATTAGAGCAGCTGCATTTTGACCATGCCTGATGCATCCGGTCACTGATTTCACTGTAGTTCTTCACATGAGCTGTTATCATGTAGACATTTGGGGCCAAATTCATCCCTGAAGTAATGCCGTTGACTCTAATAGAGTTACACCACAATAGGATTTGTCCCTAACTGTTTTTTCTTCGTATAGACTATTATACTGTATTAAGATCTGGAGATAGTATGGCTTAATGGATAGAGCACTAGTTGAGACACAGGAGACCTGGGTTTTATTCACAGCTTTGCCACAGGCCTACTGGGTGACCTTGGGCACAACACTTCACTGATCTGTGTCTCAGTTTCCCCATCTGTGAAAAGGGGATAATGATACTAGGTTTTATTATTTTATGATCTCTGAATATTGGACCGAACTCTTCTTTCAGTTATACTGAGTCAAACCCTGGCTAACTCCACTGAATTCAGTCAAGCAGTCTCTGGCCCATTGGATTTCAGCAACTCTTTTGTTTTTGTAATAAACTAGCCACAGCTTTTCAAGACTTGAGGCATTTCCACTGGGTCCAATACATCCTGTAAGAGTTATGGTAGATCTGGTAAATCCCAGAAGAGACGGGCAGACAGAAAGTCAGCCTTTCAGAGTGAATGGCATGTGCCTTTATCTGTATTCATTGATGCATTCATTGCACTGACAGGTTTGTGTGCATCGCAATGTTGTCTACCCCATTGGGAAATCCTGGGAAGAAGGCTGTACAGATTGCACCTGCACTGACATGGAAGATGCTGTCACAGGACTTCATATTGCAGAATGTCTTGAGAAAGAGTGCAGTACGATCTGCCCTCAGGTGAGTAACGCATAAAGGAAGGCATCAGAACAAGACTGGGGGGATCGCACGGCTGCAGAGGATCCGAGCAAGGGGGAAGCCAAAACCAAATTCACACAATAAGTATTTACTCTTCAGGAAGGTCTCAGAGAAGGAGCAGTTATAACAGCAGTTCAGACGGCCCTTATCTCAAGACTGGTTCAGAGTCCCCACACTTAGTCCATAAAGACTCTGGGCCCAGTTAGGCTAGTTCTCTGGACCAGAGAGAGAGAGACCACTGTCCATAGCAGCCTGCATGGCTTCTAATCCCCTCTCCCCTGCTCAGCTTCCTGTTGCTGTTTGAATAGCCCACCTATTTATCTGCTTATCCACATGCTCCACTCAGCTCTCTTCAACAATAGCAGCACAGCTAGAAGATGGGGCATGCTGCCACCAGCCACCATCAGTGCACTTTGACTCCCGTGGGGATTTCAGACCAGTCAGGATTAGTTCAGACTGCTGTCAGACATATTTATGATCCTTGTTCTCTTCATGGCCTATACGCCACACAGGAAAAGGGAGTATCCTGTTTACACCAGTGGTTCTGCTGCTCCACGGCCTATTCTTCATTTTCTTTGTGTCCTGTAGGTTGCACAGAACATGAGGTGAAGCTAACTTTGGGTATGTGGGACTGGAAAACACACTTCATAGTGCCCTCTCAACCCATGGCTCTTCCCATTGTTTGGTCCCCTTCACACCACACAGCAGGACAAATTGGGGCTATTTGTTTTTCCTCAGTCGTTCAGTAAAACTAAGTAGTTAGTGCTCTGCAAACCGATGCACACTAAAGCCTAGTAGCAGGAGTGTTCTATAATCTGAAATCTGTTTCTTAATCAACATTTATAACCAATTTTTACTCTGGCTTCAGCTATCCACTTAAAAAGGCTGAATACTAGTTCCAGTTGGAAGACAAGGAAGCTAGAATGACTTTCTTTTTGCAGTTTAGTAGTAGCAGCAGGTGGTAACTGGGTTAGTTAAGAGACAATACAGCAGTGAAATGCCTTAAGATTCAACTTTGGATGAAATCTTCTTGCCAGGAGAACCCATGAATGGATCATATTGCCCATGGATCTCTGCATATCGGTTACACCAGTGAAGCTCTTTGTGGGTTGAAGGGAAGTACTTATTTGCTTAGTTCTGTTTTTTAAATGTTGCTAATCAGATGCACATTACAGTAACTCAGAAGTTATTCAAACAATTGACTGGACAGCATGTTTTCCTAAATTAGTTGCACACACTTGTTGCTGATTAACATGCCCAGTTGGATACATTATAGCTGACACGGCCACTGTTCCTCTGTGGGGACTACATGGAAGTGAATGCCAGAGGAAGGAAAAGCTCTTTGCAGCCTGTTTCCTACTATCCTTCCCTTCCCTTGCAACACCTGTGAAGGGCTTTCCACAAACCACCTTTGTTAATAACAAGCACATTGATTAAAATGCAGTGATGGTCAGAAAAGTGGCCAGGTCATCACAGTGATATCTACCCTTGCTCAATGGTTCTCCCACATCAAATCTGCTCAGTTACATTCAAACTATGGTTGTTAGTCATCCACACTACAAATACAGCATATGATCTGAAAAACCAGCAGCATTTTTTTTACCCTTTAAATCAAAACCAGTCATAATGTGTCTGGAAATTCAAATGTTTGAATAATGTTAACTTGGCCACATTGTGCATTTGTGCAGTAAAATTGTCCTGTTTATTATTGGTGGGTGTTGTTTTTTTTTTGCATTGATTTGTATATCTTAATGCCAACAGCACTGCAGGTGCCTTGTGAGTGAGTTAATATTGCTGTAGGTTCATTGCATTTCCTGACTAGTGTGTTTAAATTCTCATTTAAGCTTACATTAGCATAGGTTTTTGCACATTTTGCATGCATTGCATGCTTGGTTATGAAGACTTCAGTTATTCAAAATTCTATGACCTAAAAAGCAGCCCCGTCTTCTGAAGTCTATTCATTTAATTACAGCTGGGATTTTAGCCAAAAGGAATTAGGTGCCCAACTCCCACTGAATTTCAATGGGACTTAGGTGCTTAGCTCTTTTAGACTCCTTTGAAAATCTCAGCTGACATTGAAATCTCCGCTGACGTGCTAATCCAAATGTAGTGTCCACCAGTATGTTCAGAAAGTCAAGGTTGGATGGCATGTATGTCTATGTGGAAGTCGTATTAATGTGATAAATCACCTTTATCTTTCACTACCTCAATTGCTCTCTGGTCATTTATCCACCTCAAAACTTGAGCAATTTCAAATAGATGCCATTTTAAAAATACACTGCCACAAAAATCTTTCATTCTTTCCTTAAGTCTGGAATTTCCCCCAAAATTACATTGGTCCAAGGCTCAGGATGGGCTCCAGTGTCTCAAAAACTATCAAGGGTAGAAGCAAGAGTGTTAAGCCACTGCAGGGGAGCCCCCTCTTTCCTGTTGCTTAAGGCATTTGTTTATAGCGTAGTAGGTTCTGAAATATCAGACCTTAAAATATCAGACTGGCTTTTGACTCATAGCCATAATGTTGTCAATAAACTGTTACTCTGATAAATTATTATTAATGCACAGCTGCAAGTTCTGTGCAAATCAACCCTAAGTATGAGCATTGTAATCACTAAAAGGTTTAGCATTATCACAGAGGGGACCGTGGCAGCTTTCTTTGGGAATCTGCCATTTCTTATGCTGTTTTAGTAAATTATCAGATGTGGCAGGACTTGTGCTATTGCTGTCAGAACCTTCAAAGTGGAGAACTCTACTTCTTCTAAACTTATTACTGATTTGCATTGTCCCAGCCAAAATAATTTCCCACTTTGCACTGTCCACAAAGCTCTTTTAGATCAGATGCAATCTCAGAGGAAGTTGTATTAGTGTTAGGAAGCTTCTTAAACTGGGGATCGTTGTTATGATTTCTTGGTAAAGAAGAGCATGTTCAGGTACCATTCCCTCTTATCTATATCTCATAGATTAAAGCCAGAAGGAACCATTGTGATCATCTGGTCTATCTTCCTGTATAACACAGGCCTTAGGGACTCTTTGAATTAATTTCTGTTTGAACTAGATCATATTTTTTAGTAAAACATCTAATCTTGATTTTTTTAAATGTCCAGTGATGGAGAATCCACCACAGCCCTCAGTAAGATGTTCCAATATTTAATTACTCTCACTGGTAACAATTTATGCCTTATTTCTAGTCTGAAGTTATCTAACTTCATCTTCCAGCCCTTGGATCTTGTTATAAATTTGTCTGCCTGATTGAAGGAGCCCCCTATTATCAAAGTTCTATCCACCATATAGATACTTATAGACCGTGACTAAGTTACCCCTGAACCTTTTGTTAAGATAAACAATTCAGACCTTCAGTGCGTCTCCACCACTGTCCATAAATAAGGTTGGCATCATGCCTGACAATGAGCTAGCCCTCATCTTCCACAGGTTCTGTCTGTAAATGTACACATTGCCAGCTTCTTAACTCAGGTCAGATACGCCACTGCCTCTATTCCCACCTCTTTTGAAATCCTTATTCATTTCTTCATCTCCTTTCTCTGTGGTTTCCCAGCCCCAGGTCTCCAGAATGGGCAGAGTTCAGCTGGCTAAATTAAATTAAATTTATGGAGATATCCTATCTCCTAGAACTGGAAGGGACCTTAAAAGGTCATTGAGTCCACCCCCCTACCTTCACTAGCAGGACCAAGTACTGATTTTGCCCCAGATCCCTAAGTGGCCCCCTCAAGGATTGAAATCACAACCCTGGGTTTAGCAGGTCAATGCTCAAACCACTGAGCTACTCCACCCCCTTCTCAGATGACAAGTGCATCTGCAATGAAACAATTTCTAAGTGTGTTTCTGCACCAGTGGATCCCTACCAGTGGGAGCAATGGTGGAAGCTCTTGTATAGAGGGGGCTCAGGTGCTCTTACAGCTGTGCCGTCTAATCCTGCTGAGGATAAGATTGGATGACATGGTGTAATAACCTCCTTCCCCCTCATATACTGTCTATGCTACAAGTTCCACCACTAGGAGAAGGAGGGGAAAGCTTACAAATTTCCCCTAGTATAAACACAACCAGAAAAAAGATACCCAAGCACATCACCCTCCCATCTCCAAATGATTCTGCTGGGGCCCCATTCATAGAATCATAGAAATGTGGGACTGGAAGGGAACTCGATAAGTCATCTAGTCCAGTCCCCTGCACTGAGGCAGGACTAAGTATTATCTAGACCATCCCTGACGGGGCTTGTCTAACCTGTTTTTGGAGACCTCCAATGACAGAGATTCCATAACTTCCCCAGGTAATTTGTTTGTGCTTAACAACCCATACAGTTAGGAAATTGTTCCTAATGTCTAACCCCCTTGCTGCAATATAAGCCCATTACTTCTTGACCCATCCTCAGTGGTTAAGGAGAACAATTTATCACCTTCCTCTTTATAACAACCTTTTACATACTTGAAGACAGTTATCATGTGCCCTTCAGTCTTCTTTTCTCCAGACTACACAAATCTAGTTTTGTCAATCTTCCCGTGTGGCTCACGTTTTTCTAGATCTTTAATTATTTTTGTTACTCTCTTCTTGACTTCCTCCAATTTGTCCATGTCTTTCCGAAAGTGGTGCCCAGAATTGGACACAGTACTCCAGTTGAGGCCTTATCAGTGCTGAGTAGAGTGAAAGAATTACTTCTTCGAGTGATGGTCCCTATATGTATTCTATAAGTGGGTGCACATGCACCTGAGTCCAGAAGGTTTTCCTAATAGTGTCCATTGACCCACACATACGTCGTGTGTCTCCTCATGCTCACAGCCGAGGGTATAATAGTTCGTGCGGGTCGATGCCTCTCCAGTTCCCTCTTATGGCTGCATGACCTGAGTCAGAACCACTGTTCCTTCGTGCTTTTAGTTCTTGCTAAGAGACTGACTTCTGTCCATTGTATATAGTTGTTTATAGTTGTTTAGAGCATAGATAGTAGTTGTAGGATTAGTAGTAGGTTAGTAATG